GATTTTGCTTTGGGGACCGCCTGCGGTTTTGTGGGTGTTGACACACGTTTAAGCGCTGGGAAACTAGTCTCTGGAAACTGGGCAATGAATCACAAGATTAATGAAACGATAGGGCTTGAGCACTAAATGTCAATCTAGCTATCTGAAGAAGCCTTCACTCACTCTGAATCTCTCACCCTTCCTAGCTCTCTTTAAGCACCACAAACAATTAACTCGGCTCCACCTATTGAGAACCCCAACTCCCAGTACCATTTGCCCAGCTAAGTTTTCTTCGCCTTTGATATTTGATTTGCCTTTTCCGACTTGCGTATGTGCCGTATCCATATAGAGAGCTTCGTTTGTGGTCATATTGCGTTTCACTTTTGCTCCACTTTCAGTTTTTGCGTCAATTTGCGTTGGGGGCGTTGTTTGCTAAAGCCAAGAAACTGGGTCACTGCTGTGGCTCGGGGGCGTACAAGTGCCTGGGTTACTGTACTTTCCCGGCAACAACAGCAAAAACACCAACTACAACAACAGTAACAACAACAGCAACAACAAGAAATCTAGAAAATAAAAATCAATAGACCCTCCGCTTGTAATTAGCTTTTGCCTCAAACTGCATGCGAAGTTCCGCTTCAACTTAGCCGCAGTCAAGTCAAGTGACTCATTTGGCCATACGAGAAACCCATTATTATAATACCTATTGTTTTGGCTTAGACTTGGGGCAATGTATTTATTCGCTTGGGCTTAGGCGAATATAAGACACTCTTTAAAAGGTGCATTCGAACAGGTATTGACTGGGTCTTTGGAAATTTTAGAGTTATGATTGATATAAATACAATTGGATTGCCCTAATACTTGAGCATTAGTTAGACCAATGCCAATGCAGAATATCCTTAAAGAAAGATTTGTTAATATTATTAACTATACCAATACAATTTATTATATTAACAATACAATTGATAAAGAGAAATAGAACAAATCTCTTTAATATATGGAAGAGGACTTGATTTCTTAAGAGGTTCATTGGAATAGCTAGGCACTTAATGCCACCTTATATATTCTAGAGCAGGCTAAGGCTGTGCCAGAGATCTCAACTTAATTCGGAGCTCATCATTTAAAGTCAAATTGTTTTTGTTGTTCTAAATAAATAAATAAATGAATAAATTAAAAGATAAATAAATGTATAAATAAATAAATACATAACTAAATGAATAAATAAATAAATATATGTAAAAATAAATAAATGTATGAATAAATAAATACATAAATAAATGAATAAATAAATTAATTAATTAAGATAAGTAAATAAATTAATTAATAAGTAAATAAAAGAATAAATAAATATAAATATATTTTACATTATTTTATTTATCTACTTATTTTAAATATATAAATATACATACATATTCATTCTATCCATTCAACTCCCTTAAATTGTTTGATTTATTATATACAAAATGAAATTTAAAACATGCATTTCTCAATTAACTGCAAATATTTTATCATTAATTGACCCTCGAATTCCTAGCATAATTGGCTGCCTGCCGGCCTCTCTACTGGCAGGCAATCCCTGTGCACGGGCAGGACACGCGACTAAAAGTGCTAGCATTTGCATACCCTACAATTTCCGAGTCGCTTATCGTTGCCAAAAATCAAGCCACACGCGAAAACCAAACAAAAAACTGAACACTTAACCCTATGAATATGGAATGGGCCCAGCCAGTCAGCCAGCCAGGCTGGGTCAGCCGCCGAAGGACCCTAATTTCCAGGTCGCTTGTTGTCATGTCACGACAATTAAATATGTTCAATGCGCTTTTGCGCGATTTAAATTAAGATAATGCGGCAAATTAGCGACCCGAAATGTTTGCATAATTATCAACTACAAACATTTTCGACTGTCCGAGTTATCAGCGAGCGTCGATCATTTGTCACAGATGTTGCATTTTGGGTCACAATTATGCTCTAGGGGCGACAGCGCGATGACTTGAGCATTTCCCCAGTTGACTTTGTTTTTTCATGTGCAAGTGTGAGTGTGAACTGCGGTGGCTTTTAAGCAGCGTAACCTTTTAATTTAACCCTTGCCGCAACTTGTGGCATGACACCACAGAAATATGCCATGCCAAAAACTGTTTTCCCTTCAAGGTGACATATTGGTTTTGCGATAAGCATCGGTAAATGCATGTGGGCGAAAGGGTTGCGCCCGGCTAGCGAAAGGGTTAACAGCCCGCCCAGGACAGACAGATAACAGACAGTGGCAGCTGGCAAACAAAGGTGAGATTTGTTTTATTTAATAAAGAAATGAGGAGTTCCCTTTAAGGTCGTGGCAGATCAGCAAGGGTTTGAGCTAGTCTTTAATGGCAGATCAAAGATCTTAGTCAAGCGTGACTCGTAATATTCAATTGTAATGCTTGCCAATGAAGCTCTTCTGCTTCTTCTAAAGAACTTTTGCCGAAAAATATTATAAATACTCTGAGAAAAGTCTAGAGCTGTGATTTCTTTAGTTGAGTCAAAGCACACCTAGGTAAATAACTCCTTACTGAAAAGATTTCCTGTTTTTAAACTCTTCCACCATTTGTAGCATAATCTAACAAGCCACGGGATGGAGTCTAGTTTGAAAACAGAATACCTCAGCCCTCCAATGTTTTCCAACATACAAGATGATGTGGAGGATAACACCAATGCTTCTGAATATACAGAACAGTTTCCAGCATCAGCTGTACAAACAGATATATGTGTGGAGGGGTAGGTATAAAATAATATGATTCTATATATTTTATTCTAATATATTTGATTTATTTCCACTTCTTCCAATAGTAATGAAGGTTCACCGTTCGGTGGCAATGTGTGTAAGTGAAGAGCTGGGAACAATTTATATTTAATTCCTTCACTAATTCCCATTTCTTAAAGTTTCAACGCCAGACCCGAGTAAGAAACTGAATTACGAAGATGCATTCGGCTACTGTAGCTATGCTCCATCCCAAGCTTTTAATGAAAATTGTGGTTCTCCTAATTTACATGGCTGCTATTCCAATGAAAACAACTGTCTGATAACCAGCAATGAGGCAGCCAATCAAAATTATGCAGTTGATGCCAACGCATGGGCGCAACCAAACCAAACCGAATATACAAATTTAGGCAGTACAGTAAACTACACCAACATGGATCGTAATACTGCTGGATTGGATGGATATGATCCACAAGAGAGTCAAGATGGTGTTTCATACATGAATCAAGCCGCGTATCAATACTCAGATCTTGGTAATATAGGAAACTACACCAACATGGATCGTAATACTGCTGGATTGGATGCCTATGATCCACAAGAGAGTCAAGATGGTGTCTCAAACATGGAGAGGCATGCATATGAGAACTGGTATCAGAGTATGAATGTCAATGCAGATCAATGGCATATAAGTCCCCAACAATTAAATGAAAATTATTATCAAAATACGAATTCGATGCAAAATCAAACAGATTTTATCTCCAACTATCAGTATTCGTATGGGAAGGGAAATTATTTTAATCATTTCCCAAATGGAACGCTTATGGATGCATTTTTGCCTGGAGGCACGAACGAAGCGTTTTCGTATTACGATGAGAATTCATTATGTCCCACCGATTATTATGAAGGTGAGGAACTATTACCGGGACAAGAGAGCTACACATACATGCGTATAAACTCTCAACCTGTGTCGGACTGCACAAAGTGCCAAATGAAATAGTTGCAGATGAACAGATAATTGTTAAGCTTGATTATTTGTGAAAGCTGAAAATTAATCATTTACTAAGCTTTATTTCAGACAGTTCAGAGCGTATGTAAATTTCAAATGAGTTCAACAAATAAATAGGAAGAATCCTCTAAAAATTTGTATTTAATTTTATCTACATAAAGATATGAATAGTGCAATGTGCAATTTCTATTTCTATTTTAAAATAAAATATTCCCCGATTTTCTATTTTTAATTGATTGTGCGCATAAATATTATTCAACTAAATAAATTGATTTAAGCAATATGAATAACAAAGCAAATAAATGAACCATAATAAATAAAATATTTTCTTTTTTTTTTCATAGATGTATTTTACGAATATTTTTTAAAAAATAAATACTGGCAGACAAGCTTTATTCTCCGGCACTAAATTTCGTAGACACAGAAACCAAATTGTGATACTTCCAAAAGCCGTCGGAAATATAAAATATGGTAGTTGCCTAATAATTTAGTTTATTTTCGCATATCCGAAATTTTCTAAGCAGGGCAAAAATAGTTAAAAGATCGAAAGAGAGCATAATTAATTCAACTTCAAAAAGCTGCCAACAATTAATTCATTAATTAAGTCATGAGTACCAACATAACGCCTAAAAAAAAAAAAAAAATATTTTAATTCACGATGCTGCTTTATCAGCAGCAAATCTGAAAAAAATATCTATAAGTAAGAAAATTTACTTTTTCGGCAACAAATTTCTTGGCACAAAAAATAAATAAAATTTTCCTAGCAATTTCTATACTTAAATCCAAAACCCAATTAATTATAAATTAATAAAAAAAAAAAAAATATGAAAACAGTTTCATTTTATGATAATATTGTTTTTGTATAAAATTGTATTTATTTTCAAATGTCTTATAAAAATGTTGTAATTGGCTTGCATTATTTCATGTAAGCATTGGATTAATTTATAATAATTTTCTTCTTTTTTTTTTTGCTGCGTACACAAAATGTCCGAAAGAAAAACAAAAATATTTGTAATTTTGCTAAAGTCAATAATAATCATAAAATATGCTTAAAATTTTTATATTTATATATTTTGTTCTTTTAGTTGTTGTAAGTGTATCAAAACTGCTTAAAATATGAAATTTGTATTTTTAATTTATTTTAATTCTTTTGAGTTTTTATTTTTACTTTTTGGTTCGGCGGTTTTACTGTAGTGTTTTTTTGTTTAAATATTTTTTTATTGACACACATTAAATGTTTTTGTTTTGTATATATAAAATTGTCTGCTTATAAACTATTTTGTACAATGTAGTTGTTGTCTTTGTTGTATTTCATTTGTTACATTTGTTGGTTCGGTAAGAATATCATAATTTGTAGTTTTGGTTGGTTGGGGGGGTTGGAATACATTTATATTTTTTTATTCTAGTAGAAATGCTAAAATTTGACATTTAGTTGTATATATACTTAGTATGTAGTATGTGTGTATGTGGCATATGTATATGTATGATAGTGTGTGCTTAGTGTTTTGACGACTGTTTAGTTGTAGACACAGATTCTAATTAGTTGAATGATATACATATATAATATATATATTTTTTATTCGTTCTTTTAAATGAAAATATTGAAATGAATATGTTTTGCAGCTGCTACGCCTATTTGAACCAACTATTACAACCCGAAACCTTTACGACATTTTGAAACTTAGGCATACAAAATGCTCAACCTTTCGTACCCACTCGCTCCTACACTACCCAAACGAAATTTGGACACCAAAAAGTACCAATATTATATTATATCACTTTCAGCAAATTGATGACAAATTTCAAATTTTTGAATTTTGAATTTTCTTAAAAATCGTTTAAATACTAAAAAAATATAAATTACATTTAGCACTTTCAACTTTACAAAAAGAATCAAAAATAAAACTCCATTCAAATCCATCCAACTCCTTCGTCTCCATCCTCGGAAAAATCACAATGCGCTTTGATTGAGCTGCCACCAAAAAATTAACTGTACAATAATAGTCAGTTTGTGTTTAGTCTTTGTGTCTCTTGGCCACATCTACTCCTGCTTCGCATCTGTCACATCTCCGGCCGCATCGGCTGCTCCACCATCCGCATTCGCCTCGCCTGCACCGCTGCTGCTAATCTCGAACGAGATCTGTATGACCGTCGGCCGGCGCTGTGCTGGATTGTAGCTGTACAGTCGCAAGGCGTAGCAGAAGATCTGGGCCAACAGCTCCCAGCAGCCAAACTCCGACATGGACATGGCGCCCTGTTCGCGGCCCAGCGGCACTGAAATGTTGGCGCGAAACTGTGAGCTGCCGGTGCGTTGTTGTTGTTGTTGCCTTTGTTGTTGTTGTTGTTGTGGTTGCTGTTGCTGTTGTCGGGTCTCGTTTTGCCTGGGATTCGTTGGACTGGAGCCGACGCCGCCTCCTGCTTGTTGCGCACTTGCCTGTTGTTGCCTGCTTCTGGCCAACAGCTGCGCCTGATCGGGTATAAAGTAAGCGATTGCCATTGCTCAAATTGCTTTTTGTATAAATGTTTTTTTTTTTTCTTATAGTTTAATAATTTAAATAAATGTCACTTATTGCACTTATTCACTTGAGTTTGTCACTTTTGTGAGTTATTTGTATGCGCCCAAGAACTTGTCTTTATTTGGCGCCAAAACGGAAACTTTGCGTTTTCAGTATTTGGGTTTTTACGTGAAATAATATTTCCGCTTGCGAGAGAGAGAAAGAGAGAGTGCTGCTCTAGCGTCTGTTGCTGCCTTTTCAAAGGTTCTGCGTGGACTGACTGTAAATATCCTTGCCGCAGTCACTTTTATCAAATCGCTGCGCTGCCAGCGACAACGACGACGACGGCGACGACGTCGTTCGTGCTTCCTAGGAAGCAACACGGCGCTCGCTCAACGAAATGTCACCCCCCTTGGCAAACACACACACACACACACATACACACGGTCATAGTGGCAGTGGTGGAGTGGATGGAGTGTGTGTGCTTTGTTTATGCCAACAACCAACCAATTGAACCACCAACCACAGCCACTCACACCACAAGCAGTGGACGGTAAGCAGCGGGCGCAGTTCCCATTTGCCACCCCAGAAAAAAAAGTCACAGTCACGGCTGGGCTTTGGCTTTGTTACCTTGCCGCGAGAGCGTTAACTGCACTGAGCAAGAAAGACAGAGAGAGCGAGCGAGAGGGAGAGCAAGAGCGCGAACGAACGAGCGAGGGCGCACAATGAGCGAACGAGCTCACACAGAAACCAGAGCGCGTTACGTTACGACGTAAAGTAACGTAAGCAAGCGACTGAGAGGGTAGCTAATGCAACTTTCGAACTAGGGGTATTCCTTCATACAGTGCGTGCTCTATGGGTTTGTCTGTGAGGGCAACCACTAAAGCGAGGGGAATCTTTTCGAACTTCGAATTCAGTTCGAGCTCTTTGCTCGACTGGGAATCAACAATTGTTTGGTTGTAGCTAGCAAATTCCCCTCATTTGAGAAATTGAGAGTCAATTAGTGTGTTGTGGTGTTATTATAATAATATAATATATATAATTAGACCTTTATATATATTTTTTTTTGTACATATTTCACTACCATTCCTTAACAGTATTTTCATATCGTTTAACAGTTCATTCATTCTATTCATTCTGCTCATTTGAAGGTTGGAAAGCAAACAATCAGCCTTTGTAAACTTGGCATCCATTGTTAGACCTTATATGTAATGATTACAATAGATATAAGGATTATGCTATGAAATAAGTAGAAAAAAAGTGCAAATGATCCATATCATTATTAAAGACGATAAACTGAGGAATTTAGGAATTGCCCTTTACCAACTTAAATAAAGAGTTGAAACAATAACAACCTTGGCAGCCTTAAAAATAAAATCTCCTGCTTGTACTCTTTTATATAATCAAAATTTATAGTTATATAAAACAAATTTATTTTCTTTAGACAACTGAGATTAAAGAGCATCTCATTTTCTTATCAATGCTTAATAATTTTCTATTTTCAATTTAAGATGCTGTTTCCCAAACCTTCAACTTGTCCGGCACAACCAACTCAAACCAACGGGAGCACCAGCTTTAGCCTTGAAACAAACAGTTCCGGCTCCAGAGCAACAGCAAACATTCCCCAACTGCCTGACCTTGAAGTCCCCCATTATGCAACACAGCGAAAGAGCGAGAGCTAGCTCATCCATTATGATAAACCACTTCCTGCTAGTTTTTGCAGTCCACACACTTAAGTAAATGGCATTTCGACTTGCAACAATTTTGAGCAAATAAATGAAAATATTGACGAAGATTTAATACACTTTGTAACTATAAAATGTAATAAATAATAATAATAAAATAAAAGTAATAAAATTAAAATAATAAAATATAAACAATAATATAAAAGCCAAAATAATATACAAATTATTATAAAATACGGTATAGAATCTTAAAATTAATATAATTTTATTATAATACATATTTCCAGATAAATGAAATTGATATAAATAGAGTGTAATACATACTTCCAAATTTTAAAGAATATTCCCAATTATTAAAAAAAATACAAATTTACATTTTAAAAGATAATTTGCATCATTTTTACCCTGAAGAATAATTTTTATAATTTTTAATCACAATCCTTTGCCTGAGAGACTTCTATTACTATAAACCAAGTAAAACTAAATTCCATAACTGAAACATTAACTGCATCTACTACTCCTGCTGCCCTCCATTATCCACATACGCAAACTTCACAACTAAATCACAGTTGCCGCACTAAAAGTTAGTATATATTTAAAATGCCAACCGAGCTTTTTTTCTTGCAGCTTGTTGCTTGTTGCTAGGGGCGCTCCATGTTTCAATGTCGGTGCCAAGGCCAAGTAGCTGCCATTTGCCACACACAAACACACACTCACACACACACACCCACACAAATTTGCTTCCTCCAAAGCTGTGCTGAATTGGGCTTCAAGGACACGCCGGCCGGCTGTAAGCGTCGCTGCCTTCCCATCCTGTGCGTGTGACCTTGACAATGAAAATCGTTTAGGGAGCGCTCCCTATTGCCTTTGTGCGTGGGCGGCAAGCTCTGAGCATTTGACACAGTTGACAGCACGTGCTTTTTATGCGGCTATTATGAGAAGCTTTCAAGGTCGCTGGATATCGATTGCAGACAATTGTGCGTGGGAAATGGCAACAACAACAAAAAAAACTGAGGAAAAGTTTCAGCTTGCAGTTGAAAGTATTTAAGAACTTTAGGTAAATGTCAATTTATATAGTGTGTGCAGATGGGATGTTAGCTGAAGGGGTTTGAGAAAGTATGGGAGAGTATGGTGGATAGAGGGAAATAGAAAGTGAAAGAAAGGGAGATTGGGTCTATAAAAATATATGCCTTATAATAATATTTTTTATATAAACAGCAATTTCACTAGAAATTTAGAAATTTAAATGAGAGATTCTAGAGAAATATGAAAGTTCTAGAGAAGATGTCTGAAAGTATTTAAGAATATATTTTAACATGATTTGAATTTCAACTAAAAATTTAAAAGAAATTTTTGGTAAGACGTTATGGATATCATTCAGATTAATCAGAGATTAGAGAACAAGCATCTTGAACATCTTGAATTACCTAAGAATTAACAAACAAATTCAAGGAACTTTAAAAAAGAATGCCATTTAGATATTATCCATATGAGTTATAGATCGATATATCTAGACATCTGAGACAAGCTCAGAGACTTCTTCGACTTAAAACAAATATCTTGTCTACTTAAAGAACACATTTCTATATATACATGCATGCATATACAATATACCTACAGCTCCTGCTCTACTCTCAACTCTCATCCCATCGACATCATGCAACCAAAAACTTGGCTCAGCTTGGCTCTGGCCATGCTTATCAGCAATAAGCAGCTGCCGCAGCTGCACAACTGCACTTGAAGCTCATTAAAAATTTGCAGCAGCCAAGTTGGCAGGTTGCATTAAAAGCGCCGCACGGCATATCAAAAGCTGATGCACACACACACACACACACGCACACGCACACTCAGTCGACGGCAATGAAATGCAAAAGTGCACTCTACACATTTGTGCGTAATGATTTTCCATTAACGTAAATTTGAATTAACAGCGGAGTGAAGAGTATAAACGTAATTACAAGAATGCCAATGTTTAAAACAACACGCGCCACACCCAACCCAACCAAACCACCCAGCCACCCACTCAGGCACTCCTATCGCACCAGCTCGGCTCAGGCATTTGATAAATGCCAATGGCATTGCCTGCCCTGCTGCTGCGAAGGCTTCAATACTTTTCGGCCCCCAATCAGGGGGCGTGGCTCGAGCCTGATTGTCACACAAAATGTTGCGGCTGCTGACATGAACTCCATGCCAACTGCTGCTAGAGGGATTCTTTACTCCAAAGCCCTCTGTCTCTCCCCCTCTCACTCACTCACTCGCTCTTTCTCTCTCTCTCTGTCTCTCTGTCTCTTTTCATATGCTGACTGCTGTTAATGGTAATTATTTATTTTGGACAGCCGTTGTATAGACTTTTCATCATTGCCATAAACATAAAATTTTATGTTAATGATCCTGTCTTCTGCTGCTGCTCCTGCTGCTGCTGCTGCTCCTGCTCCGACTCCTGCTTCTGGTGTTGCTTTTGTTATTGCTCTGTCTGTTTCATATTGCATTTGTTGCTTTTAATGTGCTTTGCCAGCGTGCGCAGGTGTGGGAGTGAGCGAGGTCTTCCTTGATAAGGTGAGAAGTGGAAACTTTGACACTTTCCAAAAATTTGCAAGAGTTTTAAAGACAGTTGAAGTTGAAGTAAAGATTAAGGGCTGAAGATTAAATGGGATTGAGAGAGGAAATGAATATAAGAGAGATTATTTCAATACCAGACTTCTGGGAGAGTTATACAATTTGATGTGATTTCTAGTCTAAGAGAATAGTGCACTAGAGTTAGTTACCAATCAAGGTCGGCTCAGGCATTATATCAAAAACTTCTACAACAATAACTTCCCATAATGATTCACACACACAGATAACTCTATCTATTGGGTTGCCTAGCAATTTGAATTTGAGACAGATGTCTATTAGCTTATTCTCATCGGGGCTTTTAATTTATTGTTCCGCAATATTGTTGCATGCTTTATAATTTCAGTTATTAAGAAATTTCCTTCAGTTACACCGTTAGCTCTCGGTCTGGCAGGGCAATAATATCCCTTACTCCACACATATGCTACAGGCAGCACTTGAGCCCCTCGGCTCGAGACCTAAAGAGTCCCAATTGTGCCGCTGTGTGTAACTACTTAAGCCTCATCATCCGCGTTTTAATGCCCATCAGCTAGCAGTCAGCAACAACAACAGCAACAACAACAAGTTCATTGTGTGCCCAGCTCTTGCTCTATAAGGACCACAACTTTCCACAACAGATACACACACACACATACACACTCTCACAGTGCTGTGCAATTATTTCATGCATTGTTCAAGGATTGTTCGACTGCTTTTTGCAAAAATTTTCTTTGTATAACGTGGAAGGCAAAGTGTTGTCAGGGGATTTACGCGCTCACAATGAAGAGGCCAACGCAACAGGAGAAGTAGAAAGGGAAAGACAATGGGAATGGGAATGAGAGAGAGAGAGAGAGAGAGAGAAGCAGAACCTGGCCGAGAGCCAAACGGATATGGCAACAATGCGCGCCAGCCTGTCCGAATGGAAAACAATTGACCAGGAGGTTGAGTCGAGGATTACGCATCAGTTTACAAGATGCGCTCGGCACTTAATGATTTCCACTTATG